TGGCCCGTTGTGAGCTCACATGCTGCCATTTCGCCTGCAGACCCAGCATGGCCGCCCAAGGAGAGCCCCAAGTGCAGTTTAAGGTAAGGGAGTGGTTTGGTGTGGCTTTGGGGGGTTTTTTTTTTTTTTTTTTTTTGCTTGGGGTGTTTTTTCGTTTTTTTTTTTTCTTTCAGTAGAAAAGTGGGACGAGCGACTCTCAAGTGCCAACGTGGATGGTAGGTCTGGTTTTGAACCGATGGTGTTCGCTTAACGGTGCAGTTAGTTTATAGTAGCACAGCATATGACTTGTACAAAGATACTCTGTTGCACTGTATCGATCGGATGTTATTTGAAGTTTAATAAATTTTAGTGGTGCTTTGCCTATAGAGTGATGTTTAAATTTCAGAAGCGAAGTTGACAGCAGAAAGTACTTAAAGTGACTTAGTATAGACTGTTTTCTCTTGCGTTTTTTCTTTTTTTTTTTTTTTTTAAGAAAAGTGAAAATGTTTCAGAGTAGAACTTTCTAGTGATTTGTGGTTTGCTTTTATTTGTGTGGGGAGAGGTTGGTTGACTGACTCTTTTTAACAGCCAGAAGTTTTTCACACTGCTTCTGCAAAGGTTGTTAATTTCATCTTTTACAGTTAGCTAGAATATTCAAATTGTTACTAGTCCAGGCTTTTTTAATTGTAAGGTTATGATGGGTTTCTCCAATTTAAGGATTTAAATGAGTTCCTCTCTGAATATGGTCACCTTCAGGTTGAAAAACCCAAATATTTCTCATTCAGTGACTTCTAGCTTAGTAGAACCATATTTGTAGTGCATTGTAGTTTCCTGCTATAGGAACTAGATCAGTCTGACTGGAGTTATAGCACAATAGGCTTAACAAATTGAGCCCTGGTACAGCGAGTTCCTTCATGGGGAATCCTGTCTTTTGTTTACAGTATCTTGTAGGACAAAGGTCTTTCTATTAATAGTTAGTATTTGCACTAAAATGACTAATAAATGTCTCTAGAAATGTATTGCTCTGACTTTCTTGCCTTGATCTGTCAACAGCTTGTCCTGGTTGGTGATGGTGGCACCGGTAAAACAACATTTGTAAAACGTCATTTGACTGGTGAATTTGAAAAGAAGTATGTAGGTATGTCTGAAGAAACTTGTGATCCAATATGATAAAATTAGAAGTGCAACTGATGACTTACTAAGTGTGCTGCTTTTTCTTATTACTGTAGCAACGCTGGGTGTTGAAGTTCATCCTCTGGTGTTCCATACTAACAGAGGCCCTATTAAATTTAATGTATGGGACACAGCTGGACAAGAGAAATTTGGTGGTCTGCGAGATGGCTACTACATCCAAGGTAAGTATGTGTACGTTGGGAATATTTGGAACCTCTTGCAGTTCAGTCTTTCATTCTGTTCCCATTGGCAACTCTGAAGGCTGTTAGTATTGCTCTTGCAGTGATGAACTGGTTTCCAGGTCTTCAAGCTCTTCATGTAGGTATGATAATTTCCTTTGCTGGGCAACTTGTGCTGGTGTAGGAACAACCTAAGATTGCATTTCAGTGTGCTATTGCGGGCTTTGGTATTAATGAAGAATAGTGGTGCACCTTAAATGACAAGGTATTGCCAGTGAAATTCAGGGGTTAAGAGTGTGTGCTTCATTTAGCACAAATTTATATCTGTATTAATATACTGGGCTGAGGCAAGGACTTGGAACACAGACTTTTGGATATGATGATGATGATGTACTTCTATCTCTATGCCAGAGTTTAGTTATCTTTCTAAAGAAGTACTGATGCTATCCCTTATAACTTGGTCAAGTTCTGTGTGTACTTCAGTCACCTGCATATCTTTAAATTATTGCAAGGGGTTGTAAGAGTTTGTTGTTGCTTTTCCTTTAGAAGTACCAGGATTGAGTCAAGCCCCCATGTTCTTTGAAAAGCTGTTCTGGACAAGGGTGTCCTGAGATGTGGACTATGAGCTCTCAACCTGTCCAGAAGCCTCAATAGGATGCCTGAGACTAGTTAAATAGGTGTTAACTAAGTTCTGTTGAATACGTATGTAAATCAAAGTTGAGTTTTGTAATCCTTGTATATTCTCATAGCATGCAACACCGTGTGACTCAGTGGGGCAGTTGCATTGGTAAAAACAGCCGGTGTTTGAGATGAGGCACTAAAGATGCAAGATGATGTAGTGATGGGCCAAGTGCTGTGGACTTGTGCATTGAAGTTATTAACAGAACATGGGCTCCTGGAACTGTGAAGCTGAGGGGGAGAAGTTAATGTAGATGTTTAACCCTAAATGTGGGACTTTTATATGTACATTTTGTTTCTCCTATTTTATAAGTGAGTGTTTACTCTCCTGATGTAACTCGTGACTATTCTTTTCTTGCAGCTCAGTGTGCCATCATAATGTTTGATGTAACATCAAGAGTTACTTACAAGAATGTACCTAATTGGCACAGAGATCTGGTACGAGTATGCGAAAACATCCCTATAGTGTTGTGTGGCAACAAAGTGGATATTAAGGACAGAAAAGTCAAGGCCAAGTCCATTGTCTTCCACAGGAAGAAGAATCTCCAGGTATGTTGGCATGAATGTGTAGGAATCAAATTTGTTGGGTTGCGTTCTGTGCAGTACTGGCGTGTTCTGCCTTTGGCACTGCAGGCTGTAGTATTTTGACTTTACATCCTGTTGGCTGAACATCAGGGAAGGGGCAAGTGATGATGTTCAAGATGAACATCACTGGTCTTGAGCAGAAGCTGTGATAAGCTCTTAAAGAGCTTGCGTGCATTTATTTTCACTGTGCAGAATCTAATCAGATGACACGGAAGTGAGACCAAAGTGGATAAAGTCACAGGAAAAAGACAGATGTGTGTTGTCTCCCTTACTTTTGCCCTTGCAAGATTCCATCTTTGATCAGATTGGGTACCTTACTTTTCAGTCATCTTTTTCCACCTATTTGCTCAAATTGTACGTTTCTAGACACTTGAATCATAGCTGTTTCTGAGAGCGGAAATAGCAGTCGTGGTCAAAAAGCATTGAGGTAAAAATAGAGCTGATGGTGTGCATGTTAATGTTGGTATGCCCTAAATATCAGTTAGAGGCGTGTTGGGTTTTTTAATGCAGTATAATATGCACTTTTTTGCAGTATTACGACATTTCGGCTAAAAGTAACTACAACTTCGAGAAGCCTTTCCTCTGGCTTGCTAGAAAGCTAATTGGAGATCCCAACTTGGAGTTTGTTGCCATGCCTGCTCTTGCACCACCTGAAGTTGTTATGGACCCAGCACTGGCAGCACAGTATGAGCAAGACTTACAGGTAAGTGAGAAAGGCAATCACTTGACCTTCATGCCCTGTTGATGTACTCAAACTCCTGGGGCAAGAAACTGAAGAACAGTTCTTAAGTGTAACTTCTTTCTTCCAGATTGCTCAAACCACTGCACTGCCAGATGAAGATGATGACCTGTGAAGGATGAAGCTGGAGCCCAGCGTCAGAAGTCTAGTTTTATAGGCAACTGTCCTGTGATGTCAGTGGTGCAGCGTGTTTGCCACTTTATTATCTAGCTGAGCAGAACATGTGCTTAATCTTTGGGATGCTGAAAGAGATGAATGGGCTTCGGAGTGAATGTGGCAGTTTAAAAAAAAAAAAAAAAAACAAAATGAAAAAAAACCTAAAACAAAACACTTCATATTTTGGACCTGCATATTTAGCTGTTTTTTGGACTGCAATTACTTCCCCTTTTGAGTTTCAAATATAAGACTGCTGCAGTCACATCAGAGTGTTAAGTGGTAAATCTTGTTTCTGTCATTCCCATTCTTTTTTGTTTAGATAATAAAGTTGTATTTCAAGTATCTCTAAGCAAGTGAACTTTTCATGCATTGTTAGGAAAACCCTTCGAAGTGTCTTCTGTTCTTTGGTTGAGGGTAATACTTTGTCTGCTGCAGTTCTCATTCTCTGTTCTTTTCCCTCCTGCTTCTCATGTTACACTACTCTTGCTAACTCAGAGCTAACAGTTAACCTTTCCTTGATTTCCTGAAGCAGATTAAGAACGCGAGGAAAGCTGAACTACCTGCAGGTAAAACTAAAACAGTGAACACTTGACTGGTAAGCACGGCTGGATCAACATTCCTGTGGAAATGGGAATGTGTGTGGTCTGCAGGGTGTTTGGAGGGAGAAGCATGTAGTTCTGATTATGTATGCTACCATTAGATACAGTCTTTGGAATCTTTAACTTTTAATATGTTTTAATACAGTATGCTTTCACAGAGCTCTGTGTTTTTAGTAGCCAGAAACAAAACGTCATCTGGCTCTTCTGGGTGACTTAAAAGCTGTATCTTTGCATGGAACATCAATCAGTAGAGCTCTAGCTGATTAAACAAACTCTAAGCATCGTAAAATTCACTAACTAGAAAACGGCTGTAGTTTGAGCTAAAAAGCTCTTTGCTACAAAATGGCATATTAACTTAAGACCACATTTATATAAATATCTAGACTTCACTGTAACTGCAACAAATTCTTAATTTGAAACTAGCTTATTACAGCACAAATGGTGGAAAATGTCAACACTACCTTGTAGAGATGAATCCCGGTCAATATTAGTACTCCTAGTAAGCAAAACTGAGTTGAAAATACAATTTTTTCAGTAGTGGTTGAGTATATGAAGCCTTGGACTCTTCAGTTTTGTATTTTTGGTTTCTTAATAAAGTGGAGCATTTCATTTATTCCTTTTAAGTTGCATGTTTGTGTGCATAACTCCTACTTGAATATTTAACTACTCATGGTAGCAAAATGTGTGGACTATGATTACTATTTCTGCAATACTGTTGTAAAGGAATCATTTTTAACTTAGTGCAAGTTGGAGTTCTGTGGGATTTGATGGTGTTACTGTTTGGTTTTTGTTTTTTAGCAAATCGGTGAAAATGAGTTGTGTTTAGGACCTGGAACTCTTAATGAAAATGAGGGATGTTATGTAATTAATTCATCAGAAAGCAAACTCCCGCTTAATATTTCATTGACTCTTTTTGCTGCATCATCTTGCTTTAACTTCATATTGTAGGTTCTTTATGTTTACTAATTTACCTGCGTGTGTGTCTTGGTTAATACCGCTAGCTTGACTATTTGCTGCTGCTTTACTAGATGTGGTAGCTTTTTTATTTTCAAGCTGTCTGGCTTCTGAAAATGCACTGTTTAAAAACCACAAATTGATACAGAAGACTTCAGTACTTCTGCAGTATTGATATGCCTTAAGAAGAAAAACAGCAGCACTGAAGTTACGTTTGTATTGTTTCACAGTGTGTTTGGTGTCATCTTTACAACTCGCCTGCTGCACAAAGGTACTAAGTGTGAATTCTTACAAAACACATGAAGAGATCTATGAAATGCAAATTAGCTGTTTAAGGACTAGTATAACTGCAATGAGCTTTGCTTTGTAATATTCAGTGTTACTTCTCAGTCAGAAAAACTTCCATCTCTGATGCAGGCAGTAATACTAGGCCTGCTGTAAAGTTCTCTTGAACTGGAAATGTTTTGGAAGTGGAATTAAGTCCGCAGTGTTACGCTCAGTTTGTCACATTCAGTCCTTGTAAATTGGCGATTCTAAATAATGCAGGTAGCCTTAATATGTGTGTGTACACTTCTCAGTTATAGTTCTTTAACTATATAATAACATTTCTTGGAAGTTTTTCACTAGTTGGGTCTAAGCAAAATAAAATTCTTCTATTTAGTCAAGTAACAAGGAAAATAAAACTTGCATTCTAAGACCCTCTGTACTGAATAGTCATAGTATCAGTCTGTACCGGTGCTCTACTGTTACCAGGACTGAATTGGTGAGACTGAAATCCTTCGTTGCAGTATTGACTTTGCTCTATGTGCTTGATTGTTTTGTGATTTGATCAGACTGTGGGAGTTGGTTTGTTCCCTACGCACTGCTTGGCGAGTTTTCTGACACTAAGATCTCTGGTTTCAGATTGTTTTTTAGGGACTTGTCACTACAGAAAATGCTCAGCTTTAACTTCCAAAAGCAGGGTGAGGCACTGGGCCATTTGCTGTTCCTAGTTCTCATAAAACTCTTGGCTGTTCTACATGCCCCAGCCCAGAGAGTTGTATTAGAGTAGTTGGAGAACTAGTGCATGTGTAAAATAGGTAAGGCAAAAGCTTCAGCTTAAGAAACTGGCAGAGGAAATGTTTTGCTGCTTCTCACTGAATCCTTCAATGTAGTGTTATGGGCTTCCTTGGGAGCTCCAAGGGCAACCCTAGCTTCCAGGATTTTCAACAAAATCTTTTTTAGAAACAGTGGAGAACACTTGTCTGCAGACATTGAAAATCTGTATGCCAGGAAGGATGAACTCCGCCCCTATTATGCCTGCGAGTTAAATTTGCCTTTTTCCTTTAGAAATGGTTCTGTTGTGTGGCTCATACAGCCTTAGTCTAAACTCGTGGAGGAAACAGTGCTGAGGCAAAATGTTCTGTCTTTGCCTTCCTGAAACAGGCATACGGTGATAGAAGCTGGTAATTCTGGCCTGGGTTGGCAGTACTGGTTGGTTTCCTCATCTGTCTTTTGGCAGCAGCTGATCGCTATCAGTCCTGGTTTAAGAGGGCCCAGTGTCTTCCAAGTAACTGAAAAGCTAAGTCTGCCACTGCTTTGGTCAGTTTGTTTTCCTATGGGTGCATTAATTTATAGGCTGTTTTTGTGTACGTGGCAATTTTTCAATTGAGCTGAAAAGTTTGCCTTTAAGCATCTTTTTCCTAGGACAAGCTGCTCTATGAGCATCTCATGAAGTTTTTCCTTGCATGTGTCCTTTAGCACTTCTGATAATCTGATAACTTGCAAGTGGTCAAAATCAGGAAACATCACTGATACTTGTGTTGGGAGAATATGAGTGACTGTGCTGACCTAAGCCAGCAGCTTTTTCAAAGAACACCCAGGTCCTTAGACTGGGAAGGACAGTAGTGGTTCTGAGTCTTCATGGCCTTCTGGCTTGTTGGCAACTGTCTTTGTGGTGCAAACTCTATTGCCTTTCCAGCAAAGACAGCAAAAAGCACCCGTTGCCTCATTCTGATTTAGAGCTCCCTTGGCTGCTTGATAAATAGGTACAGTTAAACTTGTAAGAATTTTAAGCTGGAGAAGAGAGCTTTATAGGATAAACTGCTGAACAGGCTTGGTGGGACTTGCTGACGAGCCAAACCATAGCCTCTTTATCTATCTAGTTATTGACTGATTGTAGGAATGTTGAGATAGAAGGCTAGTTATTTAGTACAGAGTCTTAAATCTTCTTAGGGTACAGATTTGAACATATGAGGCAAATAAGTTTAATTGCGTTGGGTAGATAATTTTCTTGTAGTTCACAAAGTGAATACATTATTCAGTGAATAAATGCCGCTTCACCAAAATTCTCGTCTTCTACAAGCTGCACCACTGAAATGGGCCAAAGTTCGTATTAGAGCACTAGTTCAGTATAGGAACAGGTTGCTTGATTTTTATTTTTATTAGCCATAGTTGGTGTCTATGTTGCTGTGATCCTGGAATGCTGTGATTTAAAGGATTAGATTCCTGTATTTCTGTTACTTGCTTGGTGGGGGACACACTGAGAACAAATCTCTCCCAGATGCGTGTTAAAGAGACTTTCATATTCTTATAAAACGAGCAAGAGCTTCAATATTGGATCCACTATCTCTGAAGTCACAGACTTAGCATTTAATGCAAGTATTCAAAATTGAATTTCATCAGTATAGTTCCAGGTTATTAAAAGGCATGATCTTAGCTTATTCTCAGTTGCCTGTTTCCACATTGGCATGTTGTTAATCAGGACTGAGAAGGTCCTGATTCACAGCCAGGAAGCTCAGGTGGTTGTGGTCAGTAACATTTAAGATGAAAACTAACCAGTGTCCTTCTGATTATGATTGTCTTAAGTGACAGAATCACTGATTATAATCTGAAGTGTCAGGATCTCCCTTGATACAGCTATTTAAGTCTTCTTAAGTGTTAAACTAAAGGTAGCACATCAAGTGGCTAATGTAAATAGTTCTTGTTTGCCTTCAGTTTCTCAGGTGAGAGCTTGCAGGGCCCAGTGCCACGGTCTGATTTTTTCCTAGTTGAAGTTCTAAGTTCCATTGATGCTACTATGTAAGCTTTTCACTACACAAGCCCAGTGGTAACTTGCTGATGACTCTTTCACATCTTAGAGACATTTGAAAATAGCACTGGAGGGAAGCAGTGTGTGATTTCCTTATACTGAAAATAAGAGATAACTTTCCTGTCAGGCTTCTTTTGATGGATTACACCATAAAAAAAACTTGCCAAAATTTCTGACTTTCAGATGGGGTTTGCAGGGCAAGTGTTTAAGGGAAAGAAAGCAAATCGAAGGGGTTTGATCAATTTATAAATAAAAAGGTGGGTCATAGTAAAGAAGTATTCTCTTCATACTCGTTGCCTTTTGATTCTGCCTTTTGATGATTTGCCAGTTTTACTTGAATACCTAAATTGATGTCTAATTATAAACCTTTTTTTTTTTTTTTTTTTCAAACTATAGCAGACGAGTGCAGTAGTTAGTCAAAAATCATGTATAAAAGAGCTGTTAGAGACACATCATCTGTAATTTGAAGTGCAGGAGTTATTGCCAGGTATGTGAGGCTTGAAGTACATGTGTAGTTCTGAGCTTACTAACTAAACCTGTCTGATGTAGGTTAAAAAGTTCAATGGGAGTTGGAACATTCAGGATTGCTTTTGTGGTACCAGTCACAGCCGCACGGTGGGGCACTCTGCCTGTGTAGCTGTTTTGCTCCAGCATGATTGCGTTAAATTGAAATACACCTGTTGGGGCTGCACAAGTGTTATGTATTCCAGAAGGTATGCGCTT